ATATTAACGGTTTTTGATCCGTATAAATTATAAAATTTCTGCCCTCTAACATGTGTCGGAATTTCTTAATTTGCAGAATAAATTAGAAAATAATTCCCTATCGTACGCGGACCATTTCTGTTGACTTTTACTGAGTTTCATAGAGAAAAATGCTATAGGTTCCCATGTTGTTGAGACAACTGCATAAGTGTGCCGCCGATTGCGACGTCTGAGGCATCTACCCAGATGCTTAGCTGGGCTCCGGGAATAGGGTGTCTTAAAAGGGTAGCCTGAGCAATGGCATTTTTGGCAGCAATAAAGGCTTGTTCAGCATTCTCGTTCCAATTTAATTGTGGGGATGAATCCTGAACACGAGAACGAGATTTCTTTTTATTAATATAGCCTTCTAACAATTTTATTAAAGGAGAAAGAATATGTGCTGCTTTAGGTATGAAACATCTATAAAAGTTAAACATGCCTAAAAATCGGCGAAGCTGAGTGAGAGTGGTAGGTTGAGGAAATCTAAAATACATTTGACTTTGTCAGGAAGAGGTTCAATTCCGTTTTCACTAAGGTGAAAACCTAAGAAATCAATAGACATTTGACCAAAGGTGCATTTTGAAACATTTATGCAAAGTCCATATTCCTGAAGTTTGGAAAATAAAGCTTTCAAATGCCTGCAATGTTCCTCAGAATCTTTAGAGGCTATGAGCAAGTCATCGACGAAAGCGTAAACACCTTCTAAATCCCGCGTGACTTCATCTATAAAACGTTGAAAAGTCGCGGATACATTGCATAAGCCGAATTGCATACGGGTACTTTCGAATAAACTGAATGGTGTGCATATGGCGGTTTTGTGGATGTCGGCTGGGTTAATTGGTATTTGATGGTATGCCTTAATCAGGTCGACATGACTAAAAATTTTAGTACCGTGCAATGCAGCAGTAAAATCGGCTAAGCATGGAATAGGGTATTTGTTTTATTGTTTGAGCGTTCAATGCTCGATAATCTCCTACAGGTCTCCATTCCAGACTGCCCTTTTTTGGAACCATGTGAAGTGGGGATGCATAATTGCTGCTCGAAGGTCTCAAATGCCCCAATTGCATCATAGTTTGAAATTCTTGTTTTGCTATTTTTAAGCGATCTGGAGCTAACCGACGAGGTTTTGCAACCACAGGTGGACCTTTAGTTATGATATAATGAACGGTGTTATGTTTAACAGGTTGGTTAGGATCTGGTAATCTAGTAACTGAAGGAAATTCTTTTTAAAATTTTGTGATATGGTGTATCACTAAATACAGTTTTTACTGAATAAATGCTTGCATTTTTCACGCAAACCGACGGTTTTGAAATGCGTTTTTAAATCTTTGAGACATTTGTTTCTGAGATCAGGCACCAATTCAAAGAAATGGAGAAAATCTGCTCCAAGAATGGGTGTACTAACATTTGCTATAAGAAAAGTCCATGTAAACTGTCGTCTTAATTTGAAATCCAAAGAAAGTGTTTTTTGACCATAAACATGAATAGTAGAAGAATTAGCAGCGAAAAGTGTTTGTTGGGACGAATTCCGTTTTTGAGAATTATTTTGCTGGAAGTAAGGACACGTCAGAGCCGGTATCGACCAAGAATGAAAGGTTTGTTCTACGGTCACGAACGAACAGGCGACGTGAAACTTGAGGCAAAGAATAAGTCGCCTCTATTCTTTGCTGGTTTCGTTTCCCTGCCATGAACAAGGTTTTTGTACATTTGTCATCTCTACACTTTTTCCCAAAACGTCTATGATACCAGCAAACAGAATAATCTCTCCTTTTGGAATTGCTTCTTTCCTTATTGCGATCTCCGCGATTTGGCGAGCGACCACGAGAAAGAGAAATGCGATCAATACGTTTGTTTAATTTTTCTATTTGTTTAAATAATTTATCCTCAAGAGACTGATCGACTGTGCGAGAAACGGCACAAGTCCCTGGGGTTGGATTTACTTCTAAAATTCTGTCGGCAATTTCTGCAGCTTTATCTACAGTTAAATTGGAAACCGCTGCCAAAATAGACTGAACAGTCGAAGGCAAACGTTGAAGGAATAATTCTAACATTAAGTTATCAGGAACATTTAAAGATTCTGCTCGACGTTTCATATTTCTAAGCAAATCGGAAGGTTTTCGAGAACCTAATTTCTCTCCAGATAATAATTGGCGAATTTCTTGCTGAGAAGATTCTCCTGAACGATTTATTAACTCAGTTTTAAGCTTTGCATATGGATCAATAGGGTCTGGTTTCATAAGTAAATCCCGTACTATTGAGATGCAATATCTGGAGGAAGATGAGCAACTACATAATTATATTTAGTAATGGATTCTGTGATAGGTTTGGGGGTGGCAAGAGCAAAAGGTACTTTCACACATAATAAAACCATAAAGATGGGTCTGATCGGTTATAAACCGGAATTTGGACGGCATGAACATCAGACATTGTGCAAGGTTTTTAAGCCAAAATAAAAGGCAAAAATTTAACTAAAGAAAATGAAATTAAATGATAAGTAGAAAACAGAATTATAAAATGATCTATAATTACTACTCATCTGTGATTCGGAGGAATGAAAAACCGATGTATAATCCATTACTTCTGGTTTGGAGATCTTGAGTGATGGCTTGTAGTCAAAACCGAAAGTGCTTGAGAACTGTTCATACGGCCTGATTTAACACAGTCCGGGTTACCATTATGGGAATCCTATCATGTTGTTACCTGTATGTTTTACCACCAATCCTCAAATTCCATATCACAGATTATGTTCTTACTGCATTAATATAAATATTAACAAGACATAGTGCACAATAAAAATTAAACTTTATTTAGGAACATCGCGCATACTCCACGACAGCCTGCCTGTTTCGCTCTGCTCGCTACTCGTAAGAAACTTCTCCTCTAGGGTTGCCACACTTATCGGAGGGCACAAGGCGCGCTCCTTATCGCCATCACCACAAACTCTAGATGAATCCATTTTTGAATTGCCCCCCCCTTAACAGTCATATTGCCCCCTTGTAGGGCTTGGGCCCCACGTTGGGAAACACGGGTCTAATGCAAACGACTGGTATAAAATTAATTAGTAATTCAGTGCACTAGACAGTCTTTTAAAACTTAAGCAATATTTTGTTATCATATTGATATCCCATCTGTTTTGATATCCTATCTTACTTAATCTTTATATAGTGGTAAAATTGTTTTCTCGATCATCATTTCAAATCACTAAGATTTGGGAAAAAGCAGTAATTGTGGTTATTTAAGGAGATTTAATACTCATATGCAGTCTAGCTTATTGAAACTGAAAAAAATACTCTTTGCTAACTGAGAATAGTTCTCTAACTTAATTTTTTTTTCACAACTAAAATAGAGAGGGATAGGGTATATTAGAATTTATTCATATTCATTGCATTTACAGAAAATGAATCTCATACAAGCCATCTTATCTAAAGACCATTAAAAATTCCTGCTGAGAGTTTTCCATACTCATTTCAGAGAAATTGTTTGATAAATAACTAAAGCACTAGTCAGCCTTTTTCTAAAGTTGTCATAAATTGTTCCTTCAGTACTAATTTGATGTATAAAAATGACAGATGTTGTTATCTCTGCAAGCTGTAAATACATTTTATTCTTCATTTGCCATGTCTCTTGTTGAAAACTGTTGTTTTCAAACCAGCAGCAGGTTTTTCCCCACTGTGATGTCATGAAAGATAGATAAGAAGTTTGGATATTCCATGTATGTAATAACCAAAGCCCAAGTGGTAAGAGTACTAAACACTGCTAGTCTGATCCAGGTTTAAATCCCAATGATAAAGGAGGACAGATCCCAAGCTGTTTGCTATGTTTTCATAGTTTTCCTCCGCATTTAGCATTAATACTAGCCCCTAGAGACTCTGTCACCTCTTTAAAAATATGACTGTTCTATCCATTCAATTTAGGAGTGTAATTGCATTTTGCCCATAATTAATATAATTCAAAAGATATTATGTTGTCTGGTTGTATGCTAAATAATTGTATTAATTAAATTGTTTTTTCAGTAAGGTGTAATTTGTGGCTTCTTCTTTTTTTTTTTTTTTTTTTTTTTTTTGTTGAACTCAGTTTTATGTTGAAACGCCTAAGATTGATATCTGTTATGAACAGTGGAGTGTTAAAAATTCCTTTTGCACAATTTTTTCATTGGGATTTAAAAAAAGGATGGGAAAAAAAAGAAGAAAAAGAAAACTGATAAGTTTTATTTATTTGGTCTAAATGTTTGTTTCATTTTGCTTCGCTTATAATTAATGAGATAAATTACATTTTCATAATGTTTTTAGTTATCTCATATTTTGCAGTGAGAGCATTAATTTGGTTCATTTACTCAGTATTTAATTTACTAACTATTCCATCATGTTTAATCAGAAAAATTGCTGTTTAGAAAAATAAGGAAACTAAAAGTTGAATTTTAGTAGAACCAGTGCAAAGCATGAAATGGTCAGGATTTTGGCCATATAATGCATTTTGCTTTGTTGACAAGCTACAAAGTTCATTTTTAGGTCAACACAGATCATCACATGTTGATGTAGTTGATGCTTCATCTAACTCACCTATTTTGTAATTTTCATTTCGTATTTTTCATTTTGTTGTATGACTTTTTAAACAACATTTAGCTTACCATTTGCTGTGTGCAATAGCAACAAAGTTATGTATGCTGTATTTCCAAAACTAAACTTCATTTAGATAAACAATCCTAAAGTATCGGTTGAGTTTTATTATTATCGTTATGATTATTAACCAGTGATACCATGCTGATTTGAATTACATGTAATTATACTTATAATACAAAGATTAAATGTTAGTGAGAATTTTTCTTTCTTAACTATTTTTACTAAAGTATTTTATTCTTGGGTTTATTCATTACTGAAATACGTATGTTTAATGCATTTGATATTGATTATGTATAAATTTCTGCTGTCATAAAGCACTCCTATTCTAATATATAATTTTTAATTACCTTTAACTTTTTGTAGGTATTTTGGGTGTGGATATTTGATTCAATTGCTCATTCCATTCTTTTGTTTTGGCTCACATATCTTAGTATAGACCATGGTATGTAAAAAGCCTAACCTATTTTTAAAGTATTTATTTATGAGCAAGATATATGTAAAGTAACTTCATAAAACTCCCTTATTTATCAAATTTTCCATAAAGCAATGAGGGTAAGTAGACTACTATATTACCAATATATTTTAGTGTTTGTGATATGGCATGACCTTACTGTTTTATTTGCAGTACATTTAATAGCAGTTTTTCTGTGGAGAACATAGAATGGGGTTGAAATTTTAAATGGCACTTATGGGAGCAAGAAGGTTTTTATTGTTCTGTTTTTCAAACAGTTAAACAATAACAGACACAATAGATATTTTTATTTTATTAATTTATTTTTTTGAGTTTTAACGAAAAGTGTAGTAGTTTCATTTCAACAGATGTTCAACTTACATGTTTGTAAAATAAACATTCCATTTAAGGCAGTGAATCAAAATAACTGGTGCATGATTGATAAGAATCATAAAGATAGTTTAAAGTAATATTTCAAGTTTGACAATGTTGGTGGAGTGGTGTAAACGAAAAAGGAGTTTGTAATACAGTTACTCATGTGATAAACAATTTATATATCTTTTTGGTAACTCTGAAACAAAGGGTCCGATGTAATATGCTCAAACTTCACACTGCAGTAAAATAGTATTGAAGTTGTATACCTTCTGTATGTGTGTCTCTCTTCATGAGTCATAAATTCAAAGATCGTTTCGTTTCAGGAGTCAGGTTGGGAGAGCATTAGAATTTCAAAGCAAAACTTCAAGATTTCTTAGAACATAGAAATAACATTTATTAACGTTAAACTTGTATTACTTATATTACTTCCGCCTATAGCGGCCATGAAACATAATCAAGCATCAAATAAATATGACATGCGTCATTGTTCATGTTCAAGCATCAAGTGATATATTTTTCATCGGCGCGCATCAAGAGCGCCACCTATCTACCAAAAAGACGGAACATACTCCGCCCCGATGAACATTGGTTCATTACAACATTTTATAAAAATCTTCAATTTTAGATTCAAACAAGTTTCCCAAACGTTCAACAAGTATATCATATAAATACAACAATGCATAATGACAAATTTAAATTGAATAACAACATTAAATTTAGCACACAAATTTTACAAATAAAACATACTTACAATCTCTAGAGTGAAGGAAAACAAAATGATGAAACTGCTAGATTACCATAACCACAATTGTTAATCCATTCTCTGAATCTGAAACATAATTACTGAATTAATAATAATAAGTAAAGACAACAAATTATGAATATACAATTAATGGTTTTTTTTTTTTTTTTTTTCTTTTTTTTAGAGTCTTATTCACTCAATGTTAAGCGGGAAAAGTTTATGTATAGGACGTTTCATTTCGCCCAATCACGTTTTTAGTTTCACAACACGAACTTTTCCAATCAGCAACCAGGACAATAGTTCAATTACTCGTCCAAGTCGCCATTTTAATGGAGGCAAACTTTTCGTCCTTTATCAAGACTAAGTCATTGAGGGCTAAATTTGGTTTATCCCTCAACCATTTGGTACGCCCTTGTAATTGTGAAAGATAATCTCTAGACCAACGTTTCCAAAAGCTCTGGAAAATTTGCTGTGTCAATTTCAATCTTTCAGCAGGGGTTAGCTTATTATTTGTAAGATCAGGTTCAGGAATTGATGTTAATGTAGTCCCAATTAGGAAATGTCCAGGTGTTAAAGGATTAAAATCTTCAGGGTCAGATGAGATGGAAACTATTGGCCTGGAATTCAAACACGCCTCGATTTGTGTAATTAAGGTGTGAAATTCTTTGTATGTTAGAACCTGTGTCCCAATAGTCCGCTTAGTGTGAATCTTCATTTGCTTCACTCCAGTTTCCCAGAGGCCTCCAAAGTGAGGGGCAGCAGGAGGGCTGAAGATCCATTGAATATTTTCACCGCTCACGTAGTTTTGAAATGCTTTCTCATAGGAAAGTGTAGCTACGTATCTTCTTTAATTCTCGATCAGCCCCCAACAAAGTTGGTTCCTCTATCTGAAAAGATTTTCTTGGGTTTTCCTCTGTGCGACACAATTTTGACACAAATCTTTTCAGAGATGCTAGGAATGCTTCAGTGTTGTTAGATCACTGACTACTTCTAGGTGAATGGCCTTTGAAGCATATGGTGAAACATATGTAAAGGCAAACGTGACATTTATATCTCGTTCCCCCTCTTCCTTTCCTAGCTTTAATTCAGGAAGGGGCCTGCAAAATCCTAGTCCTGTATTCGAGAATGTTCTATCCGGCAATACGCGAGAAGCTGGTAGGAAATCGGCCCATTATCTGATGGCTGGATGTACTTGTTCGATTTTTAAAACATTTTATACATTTCCAAATTATTTTTTCTTACAATTTCTCGGCCATTAACGATCCAATATTTCTGTCGCAAAGCAGATAACTGTTAATGTAGCTCTTCCATGGAGGTTCACTTCGTGAAAGTGTCTGAGTATCAATTCGGTAACCTGGTGTTTTTTGGGAAGGATGATTGGATGCTTGTCTTTCCTCCGAAAGATTCGAACTGTTACAGAGTCTACCAGTGACTCTAAGGATTTCTCTCTACCAAGAAAAGGATTTAATTTCAGGATTTACTGTTGAGATTCAATTTCTTCCTTGCTTTCAAAAGTTCTAATTTCTTTCTCTAAATTCGGAATTTTGTATGATTTTGAAAATCAAATTGCTTGCCTTATCCAAGCTCTTGAATTGTTAAAAAAACCCTTGAGTTTTAAAGATCTTGTAGGTTTAATATTGTTGCAGAATCTTAAACACCATGCAGTTACGCGTTTCAATTTTTTCCAGGATGAAAATCTGGATGTCAATTCAAATTCAGCCTCTTGGCTTAATAACAGAACATACAGTAGTTTGACGCTGTCCTACTACCTGTACCTCTTCTACCATAGGCTCAATCAAAAGATCAAAAGATGATGAAGGTAGATTTTTCTCTTTTAACCACACTGGTCCATTGAACCAAAGTTTATTTTCCCACTAGATCAGAAGCTCTTAATCCACGTGAAACTATGTCAGCCGGATTGTCATTTCCCTTACAGTATTTCCATTGCGAAGGTGATACAACATCTTGTATTCCCGTACACGATTAGCAACAAGGGTTTCCATTTATCAGCGGAACCCCTGATCCAGTGAAGAACAATTTTAGAGTCACTAAACAAAATACATTATCTTCTTGGATATTAAAATAATTTCCTTAAATATTTAATATCTTGCGGCAATAATAGCTCCCATAAGTTCTAAAACGAGGCAAGGTTAATTTTTAAGTGGGGATACACGGCTCTTTGAAAGAACAAAAGACGTACAGCAAGAATCAGGATCACGAAAATATGCAACAGCTCCATATCCCTTGAGGCTGGCGTCACAAAAGACAAAAAGCTCTATTTTATCGAAATTTACACATTCTCATTTAATATGTATTTTCTAGGAATACACAAGTTGAGAGAATAACTTCAATTTCAAAGTACCAAGTTTAAATTTTTTCACTCAAATAGCTGGGGCAAAATTGTGTCCCAATCAATACCCAATTCCCATAACTCTTGTAATAAGAATTTTATTCTGATAAAAGGGTGCAATGAATCCAACTGGGTCATAAATTTTGCCACAATCTGTATACCTTTCGCTTGTAACGTTTTCCAGTCAACTGGTGTAAAAGTTCGTGTACACTAATTTCAATGTATCCTCATCCAAATCCCCAAATTATTTCCAGCACTTACGTTTTCTTATCCAAATATCTTCCTTAGTAATTAAACCATATCTTGCCAATGATTTTTAAAGATACTGAATTTGCAAATTTTCTAAGTTCATACCAGCGTCTTGAAGAATTTTAACTGCATCATTGATAATGAGAAAACTTCTTCACGGAGTCTGCTCCATGGAGGTCATCAACGTATAGGGACTATTTAACATGTCAACAGCTTTGCTATATTTTTTTCATAACCCTTATATGATGTTTGTAGTGGCGGACAAAATAAACGGACATTGTTGTCCATTCCAAACGGCACCGGCACATTCGGAAACCTAAGCCTAAACTATTGTCACTATCGTCGTAAGAATGATCAAACCACAAGAACCTTAAAAAGTGCTATCTCACTATCAATTTGATTTGGAAAAGCCTTCTCTATGTCTGCACAAAATGCAACTTATGTACGCAAATTTTAAAATTATATCCAACAATTAGGATAATTAGGGCCTGATATCAACATTCATTTAACGATTTAGCTCCTTCAGACTTAGAAGAGGCACGACTTCTTATTCTTGTTGTTACTTTTCCTCACGTAAACGGCCTATGAGGCATATAATAACAGTTAGGGTCATTTCCAACAACTTACATTGTTCAACAATCCCCTTTCAACTTGTTCGCTAATTATATTATCATATTCATTATATAGGAATCATCCCTTTAATTATGCTTTAGGTCCGAAAATCGGGTTAGCAACGAAAAATGATCAGCGAGTTGGATTTATTGCCGTCCAAAAGAGTTTGGTCGTATCTGCCGGTAAATTTAAAGGTCGTTAAAGCGTAATAGTATCCAATCAGTTTCCGAAAAGGTTTTGTTTCATTTTCATTCCTATCGCATCCAATTCCAAAAAGACTGCAAAATGTGTTCCTTCAACGCAGATAAAACAACGCATTATTCGAGAGTATTATTTTTACTTTACCCAGCATGTGTATCCAATATGGCCGGACTATAAACAACCATCATTTCATTGAAACCGTTTGTATATACCAGAAATGCTCCGCGCCAAGCAGATATTTAGGCTCATTAACGGGATTGTATCCAAAGTTCCAAACCCTTTTTAGCAAAAGGCGGAAGCGGTGACATGGATGGCGCCTGGAATTCTATTGATATTATTCTATCCCGATAGCTTCTACCCAAGGCAGCGATCATCGGTTTTTTTTTATTTTTAGACTATACATCAAATTCTTGGCAGTTACCGCGCTGATGGCCAAACGAATAAATTGTTAGAAATTCGTTCTAATGACGGCATTCTAAATCGTGCGCTAACTTGGGTGAGGAAGTTTTGTTCACTACCTGAAGCATTAATAAGCTTACGATTCGCGATTTATTTTGCTTTGAGCAATAACAGAACATGTCTGAAAGCACACTATTTTCAGGTTTTAGAGTGTACAGTGGGAAGTAGATACTAATGCGTATCTGCGGAGAACATCTTCCATTTCTTCGATTTCAACGGCAGAAAAGTTTATTATGATTTTTGTCGTACAATTCACGTTGTATTTTGAAGACAAACGCCGACAATGTTTTAGAAAGCCTCTAGAACAGCGACCTTCCATGTTTTAATTTCTTCGTTGGTCGGTTTCAATTCAAACATCCGCAGGTATGTTCGTTGATTTGCAGAATATGCAAAACTTTTTACCGATGTGTTAAAAGCAGAAGCTTGTGATTGACTTTATAATTTTGAACCCTTGTTTAGATTAACCCCGGGGATTTATTACCTTTGTGCATTAATCAATTACTTGCTTCCGGCATCGGTTTCTATTTTAATGACTTATTAGTCACTACTTCGATATTTGTTAGATGTCTTTTTCGAGGGAATTCAAGAGCTAAATCTCAGGAACAATTTAAGAATTATTGGGTCAATAATGTCCGTATGAACCGCTAGTAACATCTAAACTACTTAAATTTCTAAACGCAGATTTGTAACTGATCAAGAGCTTTCTTAACCCAAAAACCTGAAGAACTTTTAACTGGTTCTAACTGTAACAACATCTGCATGAATTTTGATATAAAACATCTTTACGACCAACCTCTCTTCTAAACTTTTAATACATATATCATAATTCTCTTCAGATAAAGCATAACCAGAACACATTATAATAAACTTTTCAAATATGTAAACTTGTCTATTTTGGATAAACTGGGATTAGCATTATCATACGAATTAAAATATATTCAAGCCATTTACTGGGATCACCAGCAAGTTTTTCTATATTTAATTTAGGTAACTTTACTGAAGCGCTACTTGTAACAACATTATTACCATTCAGAGTATTACTAACACCATTACTAGTTGTAAGTACATTTCTTTCAACAACTTCATTACTAATAATTTTATTTATTTTCCCAACAATCTTAGCTTTAAATGTCATTATTTTTTCATCATACTCTTCATATACAAGTAATTCATTATCATATTCTTTTTCATCAGTTATTACAGCACTAATCTTTGAGTCAAGACTTTAAAGTTTCTCATGGTATTCAATTAACAATTCATATGATGAATTTAAATCTTCTAGATGTTCTTTACTTAATTCTTCCGATAATATTTCTCAAGTTTATTTAGAGTGTAGTAACTTTACTACGTACAATAGCACGTTTCTTTTTCTCTTTGCTAAATCATCCATCATGCTTCGTTTTCAAGAGCGAGACTAAGAACAAATGAATCAAATTTCTTACCTTTCAAAGGTAATTCCCTTGTCGCGGGTTTCAGACACCAAAAAAAGGGTATGTGTGTCTCTCTCATGAGTCAGAAATTCAAAGATCGTTTCGTTCAGGAGTCAAGGTGGGAGAGCATTAGAATTCAAAGCAAAACTTCAAGATTTCTTAGAACATAGAATAACATTTAAACGATAAACTTGTATTACTTATTACTTCCGCCTATAGTGGCCATGAAACATAATCAAGCATCAAATAAATATGACATGCGTCATTGTTCATGTTCAAGCATCAAGTGATATATTTTTCATCGGCGCGCATCAAGAGCGCCACCTATCTACCAAAAAGACGGAACACCTTCATTGGTTGTATTGGAAACATTTATATGCTCATCTCTGAAAAAATATAACACAATGTGCATTTAAGGTGGGGGTTAACAGTAATGTACCTTGTTTAGATGGGAATTTGCTGAAACACCGTCACGAATAGCTTAAAGAGCAGCAAATCTTTTATGATGCAGTTGTGCGATTGCTTTTTGAAAAACTCCTTTCTTCAGTGTGCTTTGCACATAATCTCATTAGAATTTGAAATGTCATCCATGAAATAACATGGTTTAGCTTGGCAAAATACAGTATAACAGCAATCGGACATGTTTTCCTGATCTTATTAGTTATTTTGCTCCCTTAGAATTCTAGTGTGAAGACAGATTATTAAATCGCTGTTGCAATAAATCATTTTCAAGAAGAGAGAATGGGTTGACCAGAATTCTTTCAACAGCTTTATGAGCATTCATGATAAGGTACCCAAAGGGACTGCAGTGAAGCTTTTTGTGGCAACCATTTTTTCCAGATGACTACATCTGAAAATAAGTATATCTAAGAAATAAACATTATTTTTGAACATCACCGCCCTAAGATGACCATGGAAGATTTAAGTCATCTTAGACCCACCAGTGGGCAAGCAGTAAAGTCGCTGAACACTTGTTGTTTGACCTGGATTTGATTCTAAGAGAATGAGCTTGCTGTATGGGCATTTTTATCGTTTTCCCCATGTATAACATGGATGACAGCCAGTTTCACTTAGAGAGTCCTCCACAAAGGCATCCCACCCCTTAGACAGATAGCCCTCATTTTTGCCATAATCAGATAAAAGAGACAAACCAGATCTAAGTCATTTTAAATTTAACTGTTTACAATTTCCCTTAAATAAATAATTTCCAGGAAATATCTAAAGCAATTTTGTATAGACTTTCCTTTTCTCATATATTCTTCTGTTTTTAACTAAATGCTGCATGTAATTTTTTCCATCTTATTTTTAGATATAGTGTGGTCTAGTGGGAAGGATGGAGGATATCTTGTCTTTGGGAACATTGTATATACAGTAAGTTCATTTGGCATGTTTAATAAATTTTAAAATAATGTTGACCCCCCCCCCCCCCCAAAAAAAAAAAAAAAAAAGCAGCTGAGTCTTCATGTTTTATCTGCAAGGTTTTTAGTTTCTAATTTAAAATTTATTATTAACCCTTTGTTACACAGGTGGGGAATATTACATAGTTACACAGTTGGCGCATAAAATGTACCAGTTAATATTTCAGTCATAAAGGCATCTTTTGTAATATTGTGTAGTAAATAAAATATTTAAATAATTAACATGTATACTAAGCAATGAAGTAAAAATCTAATTGTATCAATTTGATCTTCATAATGTATAAAATAATATCTTATATGCAATTTAATGAAAATTCTGGAATAAAATAGATTTGGAACAAAAAAAAAAAAAAAAAAATACGTTACGGATATTTTTTTATTCGGACATATCATATTCTCCATTATTTTTCTGGTTATAACAATTTATACACGTATAATCTATTTGTTTCATATGATTGTTTACAAGTGAAATTTTTACAATGTACATTATATTCGCTTAATTCTTCATCTGATAACTCTTGAAGAAGTCTCGCATAATCATCAGGGTGAACTATATTTTTTTTTCTCCTTGAAAACCTGAAATAAATATAAGAAAGCCAGCTTATTTTTTGTATATTTGTAAGTAATTTGAAAGATTAAGAAATTAAATAATTCTAAAGTAGTATATTTTTGTATATTAGTAAATAATTTGAAAGATTGACAAATTAAATAATTCTAAAGTATTATGAACAGTAATATTACTTTCTAATCAATGCAAAAATTAAAAAACAAACTAAGAAGTGTGAAAACAAATACTTATACATTGTTACACAAATGTAGCACTTTGTGCGCCACAAGGGACTTGTCGAAAACAATCCTGAAATTAAACACCGGAAACTGTGACCTTCAACATTTTATGGCTTCCTTTTCTGAAATGAATAAATGGACAAAGGTAAAGTTAGAAGCAGGTGTTAGTCACATGATTTTCTTAGAATTCGCAAAAAGGTTTTCAAGAACTGTAGCACTCTGTGCACCAACTGTGTAACTAAGGGTTAAGCTGCATAAGCATAATGAATTTGAATTATTGCTAGCCACATAATTTCAGCTAGGTGTTATGTCAAATTAGCAAGAACACAGGAACCAATGTAAAATAGCTAATATATATATATATAGTTAACATTTGAAAAGTTGTTTCAAGTTGGAACTTTGTTTTCATGATTACTTCCTTACCTAAGCTGGTGGGATTCTCAGTCTCAGTATCTGTTTTTCCTAATTGGTCTCGTCAAAATTTAAAAAAAGTATATATGTATGCTAAAAAAAAACTACATAAATCTTCATTTTTCCCCCATGGCTTTACTACCTAAGGCTTGGGACGAAAGGCTCCACTACCTGGGTCTACAAACATGTTATTCCCATATTTCTTCGCCCTCAGGGGCTCACTTTTGTGAGTACGGGTGTGGCAATCCCGAGGTACCCTAGCCCTTCAGGGGATCATCTTCTTGGTGAGACGGGTGTCACGATCCTGGAGCCCCAGTGATCTATCCTCTTTTCCGTCTCCTCTCCTCTTGGCTGGATCTTTTTCCCTTCCCTTCTCCCTTGTGGTTTCTCTCTACGGAGTTTGGGGCTTGTCACGAGAGGCTGGAACAGACCTTGTCTCTAGTTCTCGAGTGGCGAGAAAACTGCCCACGTGTTTGCCGTGCGTGGAGACCCGTGTCGCTGGAAAGGAGGGTCCTGGTAGTTGAGGGGGCGAGGTACTGTCCCCAACCACTTGCTTTGGCTCTGCTTCAGCTAAACGGGAGGCACCTTAGTCGTCCTCACGGGTGTCAATCGGCTGGTCACTAGTCCCTTGTGTCAGTGGCTTGGGGGTCAAGCTTCTCGGGAGTACCTGCTTTCGGGAAAGCCGACTGTGGGGCTTCAGTTTGCGTATAGGTCCGGCTAGCCCTAACACAGGAATCTGTGTTCCCTTGTTGGGCTCCGTGTTGGCGGGGCCGTCGGACCCGAATCTTTCTTATTTCAATATGGCTAATTCTCAAATTTTTTCTGATCAAAGACTTCGAAGTCACTCCAGTGTCTCAACCTAGTTCTGAAACGTCCACTACTAAACCAGTCACTCACCTAGCTCTGAACCACCTACTAATAAACCAATCATTCAACCTCGTTCTGAAAGTCTACTACTAACCAGTCACTCAATCTAGTTCTGAAAATTCTGCAAAAAAATTACGGACAGATGCAAATAAAAAAAATCATAACAATAGTCCCCGTTTCCTAGTCATCTCTAGTCCTTCTGGCGAAATGCATAAGATGTCTCCCTTTCATGATTAAACAATACATCCAGTCTTGTATTGGTGAGCCGAGAAATATAAAGCGTCTCCGCTCCGGAGACTTCCTTATTGATACAATCTCAGCCACCCAGTCTGCTTCTTTACTTCAAATAACTAAACTTGGGCAAGCGAAATGTCAATGTAACAGCACATAAGACACTGAATTATTGTCGTGGCGTTATATCGGAATTCGACCTTCTGTATGTTCCTGAAGAAGAGATCGCTTCCGAGCTATCCGACCAAAATGTCTGCGGTGCTAGGCGGATCAAGATGCGTAAGGAAGGTAAGTTGATCGATACGAAACACGTGATCCTTACCTTCAACACGCCTGATCTGCCTAAGAATATTAAGGCCGGATATTTAAATTGTCCCGTAAGACCTTATATTCCCAAACCTATGCGATGCTTCCAATGCCAGCGTTTCGGGCCATTCTAGACGTCTCGTGTCGTGGCAGCCTCACATGCGCCCGATGCTCACAGATTGGCCACGATTCTGAAAATTGTACCGCTGCGCCTCTTTGTATAAATTGCAAAGGTGAGCACCCAGCATTTTCACGCCTCTGTCCAAAATGGAAATTGGAAAAAGAAGTGCAGACTGCAAAGGTTACGAGGAACATCTCATATGCCGAAGCCAGAAGATTAGTCCAAAGCACACAGCTACGACCAAATACATCTTACGCCAATGCTCTTAAAAAATCTCGCTCAGTTGCTACCCAAACATCAGTTAGTATGCAGACGCCACCAAACAAAACTCAACAGACTACAAACAACAAGAAAGAAAACCCAACCCATACAGTACAAAATAAAGAAATAGTAATTCAAAGCAAACCCAAAACTACCACACGAAAAGAAACAAATAAAAATAGAAGTTCCAGCAATAGCTCTCTTGATGGAATGGTTTTTCTGAATCTGCGGATTCAGACGGTATGGAAGTAGAAGAGGGTCTGGAAGTTCCCAAGCATCTACTTCCACGAAAAACCAAACAAGAGCACAGAAAAGAACAAAAACTATTCATAATGGCCACCCTCGTATCATGGAACTGTCGTGGTTTCCACCGAAATCTGCTCGACATCAAAGCTATAATCAATGTTCATCAACCTTTATGCTTCGCAATACAGGAAACAAATCTAAAACCGGAACAACAAGCAAAACTTCGGAGGTTTTCTTTCGTCAGGAAAGACAACATTGCAGGTGAGCGTGCCAGTGGAGGTGTAGGTCTCCTCACCTCACTGGATTATCCCTCAAATGTACTTTCTTTGACGACATCCCTCCAAGTTGTCGCTACTCAAACAAATTTTGATTTTGTTTGCTACAGTCGTTTCTCTGTATTTGCCTCCAAATGACATATTGATCAGCAAGATTTAAATGGTCTTTTAGAGCAGCGGCCTGAGCCTTTCATCATAATAGGAGATTTTAACGGCCCATAGTCCGCTCTGGGGTAGTAAGGATACTAATTGCCGAGGAAGACAATTGAGCAGATGATCGAAGATCATAGCCTTTGTCTCCTCAATAATGGGCAAGATACTTACTTCCATGAGCCTTCAAAACGTTCCATGCTCTCGACCTTGCCATCTGTTCACCATCTCTGTTGCCTTTTTGCACTTTTAATGTGGGTAAAGATCTTTACAACAGTGATCATTATCCCATTCTTGTGTCTCTTGCACGAAGAGGAGCAAACCCCATGTCGAGATCCCCTCGATTCATACTGGACAGGGCAGACTGGGAACTCTTCTCTTCCATTGCAGAGCTCACAGATGAAATGGTAGAAGATGCGCATATCGATGACGCTGTTGAAGCTGTTACTAATACTATTATTCAGGCAGCTATGCTCTCCATTCCTAGAACATCAGGAAAACTACTAAAACATTCAAAACCATGGTGGAATCGCGACTGTCATGAAGCACTGAAAAAACAGAAAAAAGCATGGGGTATTTTTCGTAGATATCCTACTCTGCGAAACCTCATAGCCTTTAAAAGAGCCAAAGCAAATGCACGAAAAATAAGAAGGCAGAGCCAGAGGGATTCCTGGATTTCATATGTGTCGTCAATAACATCCTCCACGCCTAGCAAGCGGGTTTGGGAAAGAGTTCGAAAAGCATGCGGCATATATAAAGACCACTCACTTTCCTTTTTGGAAAAAGATGGCCGAGTGATTAGCTCCATAGAAGAAATTGCGAATACTATCGGTGAGACATTTGCTTCCGTTTCTTCCAGCAAAACTATACACCTGCATTTCTTTCTATGAAGCAGCACTCTGAAATAAATCCCATCGCATTCAACTCTTCCAATCTGAGCCTTACAATAGAGACTTTACTATGCTTGAATTAAGGAGTGCTTTATTGCAGACACATAGGTCTTCTCCGGGTCTTGATGGAGTGAATTATGAAATGCTAAAGCATCTGTCCTGTAAGTCACTGAATGCCCTTCTCACTCTTTACAATAGGGTGTGGAAGGAGCATGCCTTTCCCAGTGCATGGAGGAGAGCTATTGTCATTCCTATTCCTAAGCCAGGGAAAGATCCAAGGAATCCCTCCAACTATCGGCCAATTGCCCTTACGAGTTGCCCTCTGCAAACTGTTTGAAAAGATGGTAAACAGCCGCCTAGTCTACTTCTTGGAAAAGAATGATATTATATATCGCCTTATCAGAGTGGTTTTCGAAAGGGAAGAACAACTGTAGATAACATGCTCCTCTTAGAGACATCTATTCGAAAAGCATTTGTAAGAAGAAGCCACCTTGTCTCGATATTCTTCGACATTGAAAAAAGCTTATGATTAAGGCATGGAGATACGGTATACTCCGGGATCTTCACGAGAGTGGCTTGCGCGGCACCACCTACCAATTTTCATTCAAAATTTCTTGAACACTAGAACTTTTCAAGTAAGAATTGGCTCTGTTTTTTCGGATTTTTTTAAAGAGGAAGAGGGTGTGCCTCAAGGCTGTGTGCTCAGTGTAACCCTGTTTAGTTTAAAAATAAATTCTCTATTAAAAGAACTTCCTCCCACCATTCTTGGGATCTCTATATGTTGATGATTCTATAGATTAGCTGTCGAGGGAGCAGACATGAGGATACATGTAAGAGAGGGCAACTGCAAATGGCTCTGAATAAGATCCAAGAATGGGTCAGAGATAGACAGGGATTTACATTTTCGAAACAGAAAACATGTGTGCGTGCACTTTTGTAGGAAGCGAGGTCTCCATCCTGAACCTGAGTTATATTTGAATGGTACAATTATTCCAGTTTGCGCCTGAAGTAAAATTTTTAGGAGTGACGTTCGACCGAAAAATTGACTTTCCTTTCTCATGTTTTAAAACCTGAGAAAGAAGTGTCTAAAAACACTAAATATTTTAAAAGTTGTTGGCGAACACCTCCTGGGGTGCAGAGCGTTGCTCCATGCTTCGCATTTACAGAGCCGCTCGTCCGCTCTAAACTGGACTATGGCTCAGTTTGTTGTATGGATTCCGCTCAGTCATCTGTTTTGTTAAAACTGGATCCTGTTCACCATCAAGGTCTGCGGATTTGTTCTGGAGCTTTCAGGACTTCTCCTGTGCAGAGCCTATATGTTGACTGTAACGAACCATCACTTTATCTGAGGTGTGAGCAGTTGTCCCTTTTTACAATATTTTAATATCTTATCCCAACCTGAGACATCCCAATCAAGGCTAGATATCTTAATTGCCCTTGATAATGAGTGTAACACTTTATTTGAAACACGTCCATCCTGCGTTCCTACCTTTCCTTTAAGACTTCGCCCTATCATTGAGGAAACTTTCCCTCTCTGATATGCGCCCCCAAGCAGTACAGAACTTTGAAATCCCACCTTGGGAAAAATTCACGGATTCAGCTTCTTGATGTTTTTCAAACATCACGTGAAGGCAAGCACTAACGAGATCGTTTATAGACAACTCTTTGCTGAGCACAGGCACAAATATAGCAGTTATTATCCGATATACACAGATGGATCAAAGACAATGTTCATGTTGGGATGGCTTTTGTATTTGAAAATTACATTAGAGGGCAGATGCCTGCACCATGCTTTCTCAGTCCTAACATCTGAAACTGACTGCTATATATTATGGTCTTTTGTATATCTCAAAGCTCTGCCACAAAAAGTTCATAGTTTAACACAGACTCGTATAGTGCTCTTAAAAATCCTTGGAAGCTTTTTCCCAACACTCAGAATGCTGTGGTAGTGGATGTTCTCAAAATTCATATAAACTTAACGATTCGAGGTTATGAAAGTCCTGTACTGCTGGGTTCCCTGGACATGCATGGAATAAAAGGAAATTGAGCTGGTGCAGATATCGCAGCCAAATCTGCTGTTGAACCTGTCCAAGTCGCCTTATCCCTTTCATAGAGATATCTGTTATGTCATCAAAAGGGAAAGGATCCGAAAAAAATGGCAGCAACTTTGGGATGTTCAAGCAGTTGACAACAAGTTGAGAAACGTAAATCCTAGAATTGAGCATTGGAATTGTTGGAATAGAATCGTAAGGAGGAACGTTCTTTTGGACTCGCCTCAGGATTGGTCACACTCGAGTGACAACATAACTATCTTCTCAAAGCTGAAAATGAGCCTATCTGTTTAATGTTGTTAATTGTAATGTTTGTTTATCTGTTCGTCATATTTTAATTGAGTGTCCAAATGTTTTAATAAGTCTTCGCCAGAAATATTTTAATAGCTGTGACCTTACCTCTCGACCGTTTAATCGGAAGAGAGGTGAATTGTAATTTATTTATTATTTAAAAGAGATTGGCTTTTATTACCAAATGTAATTTGTTTTGAAGACTGTGTCTTGAATTTTAATATGTGCTTTTTAACTTGTGTTTATATGACTTCATCCTCTGGATTTGGTACATTTATCTACTTGTTTTTATTGATTGAATTTTAATGTCATCAATTGTAATCATCCCATCTTGTGTTTGGCGCGTCATAACCATCTCTGGTTTTTGCGCCATAATCACTCACTCACTCACTCACCCCCATATTTCTTCTTGATCGGTGAAAATAAGTCTACTGTTTTTACCATTGCTACACTAGCAGTGCTTAATATTTCAGTATCAGCTGCATTTGCTTAATATTTGAGTGTAATTTTTCAACTTCTGTCCCACCAAGTAATCCCATTTCATTATTTGGATTGTGCAAATAATGAAAATTATGTATCAAGAAAGATTTGTAGCAATGCTTTTCTCTTCTTTTTATACTGATTTTTAAAAGGCTGAATTTTTCTGTTATAGTTTGTAGTAGTGACTGTCTGCCTGAAAGCAGGATTAGAAATGAATGCTTGGACTTGGGTAAGTGTACTTTCAAACATACTGTTTATTGAATAGAAAGTAAAATATAGTGTAATAGCAATTTATAAGAATTTTAGAGTAATTGGTTAATGACATGGTATGCAATGATAAATGGCAATTTATGCACTTGTAAATATCATATTGGCAAGCAATAAAAAGTCACAACTTAGTAACCATATCAAAACTGAAACGATAAATTAAATTGAATATCTTAAAGAACTCTGCATATAAAACTTATGTTAAATTTTTTAAGCATGGCAATCTGGAATGATAGTTTATTTGGTAAATAAGTTATGTTTGATATATCAAAGGAAGTATTCTAAAAAAAACTAATTTGTAGATTTTATTATAAAATTTTTATATTCTGAACTTTCCGTACCATATGTATTGAAATAAAACAACTATTAACATCTTCAGTAAAGGTCAGGATTTTTTTTTTCAATTGATGGACTGCATTATTTATTATATTGTGTTTTTTAATATCCAACTAGGTTATATTCACATCTTTTCTTCTGAGGTGGATTGCATCATCAGAAAATTAACAATCAATGCTGATAATGTTTAAAATAATGTACAGTTCTATGTAATTATGTATATTAATTTGTAATATTTATTTTTTCATTTTATTAGTGCTTCAGTTTGTTTTGTGAATTGTTTTATGTTGCATTATTGATATGATTTTATATATTTAGTGAAAATTGGCTGTATATATTTGAATGTATTTAACAATTCTTCCATTTTTAGTTAACACATTTAGCTATTTGGGGCAGTATAGCAAGTTGGTTTATATTTCTTTGGGGCTACAGCAATTGTTGGCCCATGCTACCTATTGCAGCTGATATGGTAGGAATGGTGAGTAACTAATATTTTAGATCTATAGGTATTATAATGGTGATAATAAATATCCTGAATAATAATTGCAACAGAAAAAATTTAGATGGGTGGTTAAAATGGGATTGTTATTTTTAAAGCAAATGATATCCTTTTAAATGTTATTCTGCAACTTTAGGATTGTATTAATATTTAATTAGCATGTGTATTTTTCATAATGAAAACAGTCATGTCATTCTCAATAAGTGAATTACTTAAGTAAATAATTTAATTATGTATTAAAAAAATGTGTTATGAAAACTTTGTATTAGAATTTAACATCTCGGAGAAGATTTTTGCCGTCAAGTATTTCAAATTAATATTTACCGTTGCTAACAGATAAATCTAAATCTTTGTTATTAAATAAAATTAAAGGAATTTTAATTGGAGTATCTCAGCTTTTTTATTTTTACATTACTTTATTGAATATAAAATTGTATAAATGAGCAAAATATTTAAAAGTACATCATTGTATGGGAGGAAACAATAAATTAATTATTATTAATGGAGAGAGAATTGTGGTCTGTATGTTTCTACAAACTTTTAACATTGCCATTATATTTCATTTTAGATGCAGTTAATAGTAAACATTATTTTTTTGTGGGGGGGGGAAGCATTTAAAGGAAATTAAAAAGTACAGAGAGAACTACAATGCGAATTACTGCAAGATTTCATCATTTTCATTAGATTTTATTTTGGATGCAGATGATTGTGGACAAAGGAAGTACAGCTAGGAATTAAACTATTAATAACTCTCAGCATCATTTTTGGTAGTTCATATGGAAAATATTTTAAGGTAGAATTCAAAATCCATGTTATAAATATATATTAGTTACTAGCTCAAATCATAATTTATGAATAATATGAGGAGTGTTCAAATGAAAAGGTACAAAATGGCACTGTGAGTATAATTGGAGTCTTTAATTCATAAGAAATCACAAGAGATCTGAGCACAACTATCCCAATGTGTCGCAAGGGAAAGAACTCCCTGTTCCCCAAATTCTTGTGGCTGTGACAGGAGCCAGTTCTCCAGTATCCTTCAGTTAATCATCTGCTTGAAGCTCTTCCCTTTGTGATTTTTTTAGTGGACCAAACTCATGGAAGTCGCAGGATGACATGTCCGAGCTGTAGAGCAGTTGCTCAGTCTACTCCCACTTGAACTCGGTCATTACACTTTATGTGACCTAAAAGGTGTGTGGACGTGCATCATTGTGGAGCACATTCACTCCCTCTGAGAGCAGCCGAGCTTGTTTGGTGTTGATATATGTAGGCTACGGAGTGTCTTACAGTATACATCACTGTTAATAGTTTTTCTGTGCTTGAGTAATTCAGTGAGTGACCTCGGACATCAAAAAAGACGGTGAGCATCACCTTGCCTGCTGAGAGCAGAGCTCTGAATTTTTTAGGGGGAGGTAAAGACGCATGTTTCCACTGCATGGTGTCCTGCTTTATTGCTGTCTCGAAGTGATGACACCAATGATGATCTGCTTCAGGGAAGCGAGATCTTCATGATACTGGAACAGGTGTTGCAGTGCTAGCCCCATACACAATTTCTTTTGCAGTTTGCTTTGCTTCTCCAGAACCTGCTGCACACACACCTTCCAGCAACCCAACATGTCATGCAAACGCTGCCCCCCCCCACTATCACTGCCAACATTCACATTGTGATACACCAATAACTTCTCACCAGGTTGTTCACTTTATCAATGCATTTGGTCTTGATTGCCGTGTATGCCAGGCCTGGGCTTGAGTCATCACTCAAGCACACCTGGCCCTCATGAAAATGGGCACTCCACTTTCTCACTGATTTGTTGGACATGCAGTCTTCCCCGAATATGGCCACCAATCGATGATGAATATCAGCCAGTATAACCCTTCGACGGTCAGAAATCTGATAGCAACTTGCCGCTCCTCAGTCCTCAAATTTTGCAATTTGAACACCAATATGTCTTAACATACACTGCTGCGTCAATTGAACGGAACACACAACTGCCTGCTTCTCTCCTGCTTTATGTGTGGGCACCCAAGTATGCGCACAACCATGCCGAACATTGTATTCACATCTTTAAATGTCTCACTATGTTATCCCGAAGCAGGATATTCAGGTTTTTAATAATTTACTTGTTATGACATTTTGTACCTTTTCATTTGAACACCCCTCATCTAAGTACTTGAAATTGTAACAGAAAACAATTAGCCATTTATTTTTTTCCTCATGCTGACAGCTGAGATTTTCTGTATTGGGATGCTATTGTAAGCTAGAGTGCATGTTTTTTTGCATTTCGTAAATTGAGAGTATTATTTGATAATAAATTTGTATTGTTACAGGATATCATGGTTCTGTCTACTGGTGTGTTTTGGATGGGATTAATCATTATTCCAATGATTGCCCTCATTGGTGATTTCACTTTTAAAGTGTAAGTTATTTACTTTGTCCTTTCACTTCTTATGTAGCTTAAGGATAATTGGTAAGGATATTATAATTAAAAGAAATTTTAAGTGATTTAAATTGTTAACCTGTTGTAGGGGAAAATTGAGAAAATTTTGTTTGATAATAGTCACATATGTATTTGTTTTTGAAGATGTGTAACAGAATAGATAAAATAAGCTTTCCACTGAATTATAAATTTTCTGTAATTTTTTTTTAAATTGTTCCGCACAATGCATGCATTTTTATTGAAAATGTTATTTTTATGTTGAAGCATCATTCATTGTTTGTAATTAGAAAGCACATAAGTCAAGAGTATGATACAGATAAATCCATATAAATGAATTAGTAGTAAAATGAAAATATTTCCACAACTTTTATTTCTTTTCCTCCTTTCAGAAAATCGTTTCTGAATTGTATAAGATATGAAACAGTTTATTGTTTTATGTAGTATACTTCCTCCATAATAAAGTATGTCACTTATCATTTTGAGAATCATAATTCTGTTTGAATTCGTACAAATAGGGTTTTTCTTTCCTAAGATAGTCTTCAACTTAGACTTCATTTTTCTCGGAAACTAAATATATATGTATATGGAAAAAATAAAGAAGAATTTGACAATTAAAAGTAATCTAATTGGGATTTAAAAAATAATTACATTATTGGAATATTCTCTCTCTCTTTTTTTTTTTTTTTTTTTTTTTTTTTTCTTCTGCATAAGGGGAGGAAGTATAAAAAAGTCTCTTAGCCACTTGATCATCTAATTTATCAATATATGTTTGTACTCATATCCGTTTCCTCTGAAGTACATGGTAATTCAAAATTAATTCCTTCTGAGGCTTCAGAATTTTTATAGTACAGTAACTATAAGAAATGGGAGATAAAATAACCTGCATAGCAGTAAATAAGAAATATTAAGTATACTTTTATAACTAGCTCCACATTACTTAACCTTTTTGAGACGGCGTGCCTTTGTTTGAGACATTCCCTCTGAATGGGGTGGAAGTCAAAAGGAATCATTCCACATGAAGGGTGTTTTGTATCCGCTAAGCCTAACTTTAGGAAAAAAATCGGAGGGGGAAAAAAAAGTTTGCATCCTAATGTCATAATATTTGGTACTATTTTAGATTATTACTTAAGCTATTATACATGTTAAAATTGTTTAATAATTTTTTTCTGTACTTTCTTGAAAATGTATTAAAAGTATTGCCTATTTGAGAAATAATTTTGGGAAGCGCAGGCATTTAAACTGCACTGAATACTTTTGCAATAATATGCTTACTGGCATAGCTTTTTCTTGATATAGCTAAGTATTTGATTGAACTTGACATATGAGAATTATAATCAAGCTCATGCGACTTGATTTTTCGGCCCAATTCATTCATATTTAACTCATATCTCAGCAATAGATCTTCTCTGTAAGAGATAATATTGTCATTTCTAATCCCCATCAGTATTCCCATGTGTGCCTCAATCAGTGTTGCCAGATCGTGCGATTTTGCGCAAATTTGTGGCATTTGACAAACTTGTGCTACTAAAATTTTAGTTTTTGCGAAATTTTTGCAATGTCCATCAGTTTCTTATGCTATTTTTGCGACTTCAAAGATTTTTTTAATATATCGTAAAATGCTTTTATGTTAAAATAATTTATCAATTAAATATAATTTATATTAAAAAATAGTTTATTTAGGCTTAAATAGAAGTTGATATCTGGCAATGTTATTTATATGTAGGCTTTCCTTTTCAAGGCTGCATAGCCTAATGCCAGTATAACGAGAATGGGGTAAGGGACGGGGAAAAAAGTAGAAAGAAAGGTGAAAAAAAAATGCTTCGGGACCTTGCACCACCATCCCTCGTCCACTCTTTGTTTTTAAGTCAGTAACCCCCCTCAGTTCTATAGTGATAATGAATCGAACCAAAGAACTTGCAGCTTACGCAACATATATTGGGTATTCAAACAGAGAAAGAAATTAAATTCAAACTCCTAATTATAATATTGCTAAGAACGAAGCAATGGAAATGACTTGAAATCAAAGCAACAACATTTTTCTAAATAACAACAAAAATAAATTTAGCAGTGAAAGAACAAGGCTTTCTTAAGTAATCAGAATCTGAAACAGATCCATCACACAGAACAGAAAACTCACTGAAAAGCATTCCTCAATTAAAATGTTCACAATTAAGTGAAAAAACAATGAATTAAAAAAAATTAACTGCCAACTCAAAAAATTTAATACAAAAGAGCCAACAGTCTAAACGTGAGGAATCTCATAAGAATGGATATCTGCAAAATAATTTTAAAATTGAAATCTAAATTAAATGAGAATTAATTCAAAAAGAAATGGATATTTAAACAATTGAAAATGAGCAATATAGTTTTAAAATTTTTTGTTAAAGCTAAGATATGTAATTAAAAAGACTAAGAATCGAATACAGAACTTACAGAACCAATAGACAGTAAATTTGTGATGATGTCGGAGGTCACGTGAGCCTGTGCAACTATGACGTCACAAAAATTACGTGATCTCTGACAATCATTTGTGAATTTTTGCGACTTTTTTAGTCTTCTTTTGCTACTTTAGTTGAAAATTTTCTGGCGACACTGGCCTCAACATTCTTTTCTTGGACCATGGTTCTTCATATGACTTTTGAATTCCCCACTCTGCCAAAAGTCTATTCTCCATTATTGAATGAGAGTATTGAATCATCCTGCCACCTAAAAAGTGATGCCTCACAATCACAACTTCATTTTTAGCTATGATATCATTATTGATTCATGCTGCTACTTAAGTTGTCATTCCTATGTAATTCCTATGATGCATGTGGCTGTTTGAGTTGTCATTCCTTAAAGAAATGTTATAATAACTACAAATCTTCAATTCCTCAACTACCTCACCATTGTTCAAGACAGATCAATAAGGTGTAGTTATCAGTACATTCAACATTTTTATCATGTCAATTCTTGCAGATTAAATTCTACCTAGGATATTTCCTTGCAGTCTCGTTTACTAATTAAGATTTAACATTTTTGCAAACAAGGAGCTTAGTAATCATAAACTCTATCCTATTTGTATTTATCTTTCATGTTGTATTTGTTAAAAAAATTTTAAATACCAAAAATATATGTGTACACTTCTACCTAGCTCAGTGGTTAACATGCTTATCTCGAGACTGAAAGGTCCTGGGATCGAATCTTGCTATTTTTCCAAACTTAAAATTTTCTTAAAAATTTACTTTCTTCTCCTTAAACCTTCTCAAGTCATGTTGACTACTTCCTAATTTATTTTCTTTAACAATGATCATGTATCCTTTCTCAATTCTGCTCACTATTATTTTCTGTTGTGGAGGTATAGGGTACTAAACACTAGTTATTAGAACTAAGAAATATTGTAAGATGAAATATATGTTTAATATACCTTTCAGGATACGAAGATCTGTGAGCAAAAGCTTAGCAGAAGCTGTTCGAGAGAGTGAGATAGCGAACGCAGATCCCGCTACAGTAATTGTGCATGCAACGAGACAGAGGTGACTGTAATGTATCATTTTTCAAAAAGAATGACTGCATTTTTGTGCTCTGTATCAGAGTATATCCTCTGCATTTGATTTCCAATCTTTAAAAGAGTATTACTTTATAGAGTATTACTGATGTATAGTTTTTATGAATAATCAGATAGTTAAGAGTTACAATTTCTAGTCAAAATATTGCTTTCATGTTCCACCAGGATGGTGTTACTTACAATTTTTTAGGCAATGGAACCTCCATTAATTCGGTTATTAATTATAAATATAAGAGACAAAGCTTAATTACTTTATATTTTGATTCTAAGCCAAGAAATTTTTATACATTTTTTTGCTATGGAATTGGGAGGTCAGCTAACGTAGAATTCAAAATGAGTCTGAAATACTCTGAAAATGAGTCATTTAAATGCTAATAACTGCAATTGAAAAATATTTTTAGTTAATCCTCAGGCACTATCTGCATCTCCACTGACAAGTTGTAAGCTTAGTGACAACTATGGAGAGAAATGCCTGTTTAAGTATCTTTATTTCAATGATGCATCCAATGCTACCTATTTTTTACATCCTTCTTTTACCATAGAAGACAGGCACGCTTCTTGTTCCCCCCTCCCTCTGCTTTCTTCCTGTTTACATAATCTATTTTCATTAAAAAAAAAAAAAAAAAAAAATCAGAGAATCGCACAAAATCGTAAATGTACCTCTGCATAAAAATCTTAAAATGAGAAGGGGAAAAAAAGGCTCATGATGCATTTAAATGAGCCTTATTATGCTTTAATACATGCAGAAAGCTAAGTCAGATTTATCCAAAGATTACAAAATTGCAATTTGCAATCCTCTGCCATGCCAGAATGCTAAAATTCTTACAGAAGGGATCACAATCTGCAGTCACCTTGGCAAAAATGTGTGAAAAAGTAGTAAGCCATCTGGGGGTGGAGATGATGCTATACGAATACATGAGTTGCCTCACAAGTACATTTAGGCTACATGATGCATTACTTCGTCAGTTGTGGGTTCCCCCCCCCTTTTTTTTTGGAGCGGGACAAGTGTGGATAATCAGAAAGTACAATATATGTCAATCGAACCTCATCATCTATATCCATTTCAAAATTTTCTGTTACGTCTCTGATATAATCAAGTTTGGATGAATGCTTGTTTTGTATTTCGCAATTAACATAATCATAATCTGCTTTGTAGGATAATAGCATCTTTAGTTCCACCTGCAGCATTGCTAATGCAACATTTCTTGAGTGATTGGATGATTGTTTCTGGTCTGTTTTTGAAATGGAATCCATCAGATGAAGTAGATTGCCAGTTATTCAAAATTTTGACAATATATAGTTGGATTTATAAAGCTATTTAAAATTTTGCTTATTTCTGTAGTTTTGGTTGAGTTTTTGAAGTACAGTCTTGTCTTTCAATTTATACTCAAATCAACTTTTATTCTGAAATATGTGGTAATGAATTATAGAATTTAATGTAGCTTATTTGTTTAGTGTTACATTTTTTGAAGAGATTGCTTAATCTATTTCATGAATATAAGATAAAATAAGCCAGCTTTATTTCATAATCTTTTTTTTTATGCATAGTTAGTCTATTGACATTTGCAACATTGACGAAAAATGGATATGTATTTTCCTGCAAGATGTAATTACTAATTTATACATATGCTGTGGTACTGTTTAATATCACCTGCATATATTCAGGTACTACTGTAGTATTTGAAATGGATCAAATTCATAGGACTCAATTCAAAAGTCTTTGCTTTAAACTATTTTGTCAGGGTACCATATACTGTCTGCTATAAATTTCAGATCTTAAGGTTTCACCAGAAACCTTTTTAATCTTTTTTATACTCTCGCGGAGCTTGTTGTTTATCGGTCTATTCTTGGGTTCATTCTGTGTTGATTAGTTTATTATTATTGAATTTTTTGTACAATGGAAATGATAGCAGTGTTCATGTATAGGTCAGCAGACATCGTGGCATCCCATTATTTTATTGATTGATAGCCCCTTTTCTTTTTCGTTTAAAGTGAAGTGTTGCCATATACATTTAAAAAAATTTTCCAATTTTAATTTTTTTGTTGGGGGGAGGGGTGGTTAGTTAAATGCATCAGTGTTTAGTTTTCATAATATATGATGACCTACACAACTTTCTTTTATCTTTTTAACTTGATATATTAAACATCATGTATCACAGTATTTCTAGAATATCCAGTAGAGTGTTAAGCATTGCTATACTTTTTTTATATTCCCTGTATTATTTCTTAAAAAAAAAACTTTTCATAAAAATACACAAAAATGAGGTATTGCAAAAATGAGGATCGAGATTCATAATTCATTCTGGTGTTAAAAATAATCAGTAGTACTTTATCCATATTTAAAGTAAAATTATTTTATGTGAATTTACATTCTACAATTTATTACATCTGTTATATATTTTTTAATACATAAAGCTACTTAATGCTTTTGAAGTAGAACAAATGAAAATTCAAACATTATATTTTATACATGTAATGTATTTACAGCCTACTGTAAAATAGATGATATATGCAGTACAGTTTTATTGTTATTAAATTTTTAGTTAAAATAAAAAAATTATTATTTAAGTATAAAATCAGAGCATGGAAGCTATCAAATAAATAAGTAATGTTAGAAGTGCCTTTATTTGCATATAATTAAAATTTTTATATGAATTTATGTTCATACAAAAAAATCATATATCTGTTTTACATTTTTTAATACTGAAAACTGCATAATACTTTTGAAGAAAGTGAAATTAAATTTTTAAACATTATGTTTAAGACATGTTACTTTATAGTGTACTTTTTTTTATGCACAAAACTACTTTGAAATGGATCAAATGTTTTTAAAAAAGTCATATTCAAACTAAGGATTCTGTAAAAAAGATGGAATATATAATATAGTACTAGTATCACTAAATATGTTAAGAGCAAAATTAGAATGTGGCAGCTGATTAATTGCTTTAAAAATGAAATCTAACCTTTTTGAATTATTTTCAAGAGGATGTAATTTTCCCTTCAAATTACCAAATAATTTGGTATGTAACCAAAATGAGTCCTTTTCTGTTGATAGCTTGCAAAATATCACAAAAAATGCTTTATGTTCCTTCCTTGGGCTTATTCTTACGTTACTGTTATTTTCAAATTTTATGTGCAGGAACAAAGTAATTGACCTATTTAAACACACACACACAAAAAAAAAAGGATACTTTTCTCTGTAAGAAATTTAAAATGTTTTACATATTTTTCCAAAATATTTTTTAAAGGATCATTGCATTTGTTTTCGCATAAATTTTGCAAAACAGGTTTCCGAGTGCTGAATGTGCCATTCCTCAATATTTTGTATTTTGCTATTTTGTAATGAGGGTTTTATTATTTGTGATTACCGTGATTATGGCAGTATTATTTTTATTCATTATTATTATAAATTATTTTTGAGTATTACTGTATTTTTGCCTTTTGTGATGTTATTTATGGTTATTATTGTGTTGGTATTATAAAGGCCTTTTATAATGATGGTAATGAATATGGTATTGGACAACATGTAGATTTAATAAAGTGTAGTCTTTTGTAATTTTTTTTACAAATCACATTTATTGGTAAAATGTCATTTGGGGGGTGCGAGTATTATTGCTCCATATTTTGATCAAAATAAGTCTTCTGTATTTTAATGTAAAGCTACATTTAAAATAAAAGGTAAATTTTATATTCTATCTTTCAGTCATTTTCATCATAAATTGGAAGATATTATTACTTGTCCTACTTTTCTTCTTTCTTTAAATCTTTCGGCATTAAACATCAAAAATAGTTTAAATAGTATCAAAAATAGTTATAGATTGAATGCCTAGTTTTTTGGAGGTTTCATTCTGTGTATAGTTTTAAAACACATTGTTGCAATTAAGATATGAATATTTGTTAGCTTGGAAGCAACTATGTTTCGCAATTATATTTGCAACTACTTTTTTTTTTTTTTTTTTTTTTTTTTTTTTTCCTATGTTTAATAGTATATACAAAATTTCACATTTCTTATGCACAATATACTCTGTTTTTCTAGCATGTATATGTGTATAAATCATTTTGAATAAAACTTTTAAAAAAATTCCAATTATTCATGTGTAATCTTTTGTGATTGTTTTTCAATTCTATAAGCAAACTTACATATGAGCTTTAATATATTGAAATTTCTGTTGCCTAAAATGTCTTTGTAAATTAGCTTGCAAAAATAAAATTAGGCTGCTTCAATTTTATTACAAGTGTTTTAAAATGCAGCTTAAGTTTTATAAGTAGTGGAAATCCATTGCTAAAAAAAAGCCTGCAAAAATGAAATTATGATGTTTTAATTTTTTTTTTTTTTTTTTTTTTTTTTGTTTGTTTCAAATTTATTCAGCTTATGTTTTATGTGCATTATAATTGTATTGCCAAAAATAGTTTCCTGAAATAGCTTACAAAAATAAGTGTATTTCAGCTTTTATTTGTGTATTTGAAATATCTGTCTGTAGTTTTGAATTTTTTTAATAGTGCATGACTTTTGCATGTTTATTGATTGATGCTTATGCTACGTTATACTGATAATTTTTATTGAATTTGTTCTACATTATTTCTATAGACTTCTTTTTCATATTTTTTCTTTTTGTCTAAATGCTACAGATTTTTTGTATTTTGTTATGATATGGAGGTGTCTTGTATGCATTTAGTGTTGTAGTGACTCTCTTTGACTGTGATTTAGGCTTACAGAAACTGCAAGGTTACTAAAAAATGTTTTCAGAAGACCCTCTTCCCATGTTTCTGCAGTTCCTTTGGAGATGGAACTACAACGTAAGTTAATGCATAACAATACTTCTTTTCCTATTTTATCTATATGAAATAAATATAGGACATACAAAGTTTTTTCACACATTTTTATGGTTCTAGATCCAGCAGTTGTGAAAAATTAACTCCAAAACTGACTTTCGGAAGATTAGTGGGGTTTGTTCAATTTCAAATTGGTAAACTCAGGCTTTGGAAAAAAAAAAAAGAAAAAAAAGCTGGTGTCAGAAGACTGTGAAAATATGGTTGAAATCACATAATCGGAAAAGGGTTAAAAAAAATTTCAATTTAGGCATCGTATGGGTGAAGCAAAATCACTTACATGATTCCTAAACTTAACTATCGTATTTCCTTAGCCCTCCAAATATCCAAGGATTTGGACACAAAACTATAAAATTCTCAAAGTTTTGTGGTAATAATACCAAAATAACCCTCCCTTTATACCTTGACTGCTTTTCTTTCAATATATATGTAAGCTCACTTGTCTGGATTCATTTCAAGATACATATTTGTGTAGGCATCGTGACAGTATTTTGGGATTTTGGGACGCTACATATTAGTTTGGTCACTTGAGAGGTTAACTATGTTTTAAATATTAATAATTTATATAAAAGATTTGAAAACTATATTGGTAATCATGTAAGTAATACATACTTAATTTATATGTGCACGGCACAAAAAAAAAGGGGGGACAGTTCTATATCTCCCATTCTACTGGGCCGAAATTCAACTTGCGAATTTCATTTCTCGAAAGCGCGACTTAACGATATGTATTAGATTTATATACAGGATGATTCTAAATTGTTTTTTACAAATTAAAGGGGGTGATAGTACCCATCCAAACGAGCAATAATTACCATCTCATTCCATTCTGAGAAGCAGAAAAGAGGAATATTAGAATTCCAGCCTCAACGTGCAACAGTGTTGGAAAAGCAAATGAATGAGACCAAAAGTTGCACAATCAGGTTTATTATTTAAAGAAAAACTCACAGAAAGTACTCAAAATGTTGACAACTCGCTCTTTCATTTCTGGCCTTCGTACATTTTGCGAACGTCCTGCATTGCTTTTTGAGATGCCAATAGAACCGGTTTCTAGCATTCTTCGATCAACACTGGAAAAGGTTGGATGACGTGGAAACCACTGTTCATACAGTCTTCGTGCTTCACGTCCATTACTTTTTGCATCCATTCCGTATGCGAGTTGAATGTCTTCCAATTCCTCGTGTGGTTTAAATAATTTTTATATATTTTTCAAGAAATATTTTGAAATATAACCTATGAAATTTTTACCATCATCTTAAAGTGACGTATTTCTAAGTATACATGCAAAAAATGACAGTTTAGTATTCAAAATTTCCGAAGATATACGTGAATTTATGTATTGGCGCATTTTGAAATTTGGCATATTTGTTGAAAGCGATAAAACATCAAATGTGGTTTAGACACTTTGCTAAAATTCTTTGAAAGTACGAACGATGTGTCTTTTTTTCCCCGCTTGTGCACAATTTAAAAAGGTAGGAATGAGGTGCCTTTTTTCCTGCTACGCATAATGGAAGGAAAAGGAAAATATTATATTAAGAAGTTAGCCAAGTGAATTATTCTTGCCACAAACTGAAAAGATTACTCATTGATGCATTTTAAATTATATGACTTTGACAAATCACCTTTTGTGTCTGGAAAACTACTTGTGCTCTTGTGATTTACTCAAAACATAATCTTTGAAGGTTTTCATAGGACACTAATGATCTCAACCACTTGGAAACAACTTATTTTCACCCTTTTAGTTCTGTGTGGTCACAAATTACAAAAAAGGCAGAATGCTGTGAGCAAGAACCCACACAAATCAGCACCAGGGATTAACTGTTCAAGTCAGGTAGATATCACTTGACAGTTAGCTGCAGGAACTTTTGAGCTAACAGAGCCTAATGGCATGATATATAATTATGAAATGCTTGCTTTGCAGTATTGTCATTCAGACTATTTTGAAATCTTTCATAAAGAAGACAGATAAGATATATTACACTTGAATTTGGTTGCAAAGTTTTCCCTTTTAGTTTCAAATGCAACGGGTTTTTACCTGTGTTATATGTATAACTTAAGCCAATTTAGTTCTATTCAGAGTTGATTTTGGAAGACCTTATGTGCTGATATACTTTGTTTCAATTGAACACCTCGATTAGGATATGCAACAAAACAGTCTTCCGAATAAAGTTTGTTGAAGTAGATTTTAAATTTAAAGATAATTTAAAAACTTTCTCTTATTTTAATCAAATTGATTGTGGAATAACAGAATGATATTATTTGTCAAGCAAATTAATTAGTCTCTGGTGTCTCCAGTATTTGCATTTAATGGTATACTGGAGCCTTTAACTTGTCCCCTGAGTTTCATGCATGAGTGTATTGACATCAACAAAAATATACACCTGTTGCCTTCGGTATTCTATTGAGAATGTATTAACATAAGCAGAAATATCTGCTGCTACCATTCAGAATTATGAGATAAAAATTATAAATATGAAAGAAATTATTCTGAAGTGATGTAAACTGTGTTCCATGTGCAACAATAGAAATGCATAGTTAAAAATTATGCATCCTACCATTCTGCCTTCCTTCACCCATCTCAAAGGTTGAGAGATGGGAAATGAACAATGACTCATCAGACATAGATAATAGTAAAATTTCTTGCTAGAAGTGCTACTAAGGTGCTTTTACAGACCATGTGTTTGTCCAGTTTAGCCCTATATGATTTTTTACTTTATTCCTCTAGTGAAACGAAACTTGTTGAGATCCCAGTTTATGTCAGTAAATGAAAAGTAACATTTGAAGGAGGCATTAGGAGTAAATTGTGTGATATTTGCAAATGCTCATCATTCATTCCACAAGGAAATTATTTTGAAAATATACTTGCTTTAGCATTTTAAACTATTACCACTAAGGAGCTATGAGCTTTTATTAATGGACTGCACAAATAAGCATTCATAATTAGAATTCTCGTGACAGGTGACGGTTTGCTAAGAGCTCTGAACAGAGTTGCTGTTTTGGCACAGTCCATTAATTAAGAGGACTTGTGGCATCTTTAAGGTCAAGAATTTCCTCATAAGAAAATGCTATATCTGTGTATGTTAAGTTCCCAAACAATTAGATCATGTAACATATAAGCACATTGCCACAGTCTCATTTCTATGCCTTATAAATTAGAATCATTATAGCTATGTGCTTATTGTTATTTCACATCCTTATTATGTCTATGTTTGTGACAAGCAAGTTTGGTTATATGTTATAAAATGATTTTGTGCTCATTATAATACTGTGTTGTCGTTTCTCCCATGCTTGTTGCAAAGAAATTCTGCGATGTGTTACTGTTTTTGATTATATGTTTCTTTACATAAAATAAATTGTCTTTCTTTTCTTTCCCTTGCTCCTCCCTTTTCTGTCCACTATCCATATGTAGATGGCTTTGCATTTTCCCAAGAAGAACATGGTGCTGTACCTCAGGTAGTGATGTTTTTCATCCTTACCTTTTGAATGTGCTTTTAAAGCAAAACTGATTACTAATTACATTAGAACTCCAGATATTCAGATCTGTAGCTGTCTGGAATTCTTGTTATCTAGAATGCTTTACTTTCATAGCACATTAAACAGAAGTCTTTTACTTTTATCCAGTTAAACATTATTTAATATTCAGATCCCTTTTTTCTTTTGAGGCCAATTAAAATCAAACATATTTGTAACCCAGATCACTTGTTTTCTTTCTCGGCCAATTAAAGTTAAATATGTGAATTTATAACCCATTTATTTTCTTTCTAGGTCAATTAAAATAAAGCTTGTAATTTATTTTTTTGGTCAAGATATCTTTATCTTTTTTCTAACCCATTTGAAATTAAATCTGCTAGTACTTTTATGAACTAAAAAGCTTATTCTTTTCTCTAGGCTTATCAAAATTAAGTTTATTGTGAATTTGTATGTCTATTTTTTCATCAATTTATATAATGGGAATTAATACGTAGGTTGGGACAAAAGTCATGGCAACTATTTTTTTTTTCCTTGAAGATACCAGTCCGGTTGAAAAATGTGACCTATACAGACGAAAGGACAAGGTCTTATTTACATGTGTGGACAATGAATAGCACTGAAATATCGTAACACACGAATTTATTATGGTAGTATACAGGACAATATAGCCTTCACTGTGCAAAAGAATAATAACACAATACACATAAAGTTGACATGACAAACCTGGGCCTAAAGACTCATTATGTAGTCCCTTGCTGTCACCACATGCTGCCAACGATGTGGGAGGCGCTGAATACCATCAGCCTCAGCATTTGCTGCACCATGTGGGAATCGGGTCATCTGTCACGCACAGTATTAGCAATGGCCTCTTGTGTTGCAAACCGCCTACCACGTATTGGTTCCTTAATCTTGGGAATGAGATCAAAGTCACAGGGTGAAAGGTCAGGAGAGCACGGTGGGTGCTCCAAGTCTTCCCATCCCTAACGTCGGAGTAGCTGCCATACAAACTCTGCTGTATGTGGTCTTGCATTGTCGTACAGAATTATTGCACTGTCCACAAGATCCGAATGTTTATCCCGAACGCCACGTCATACCTGTATCACCAGGAAGTCCCTGTAGTACTGTGCGGTCCTTGTTCTGCCATGAGGAACAAAGTGGCAAACAATGACACCCATGACGCCATATGCGACGATCACCATAAATTTGACTGGGCAAGGATTCTGACGCTAGCTCATTATGCCATATCCTGTGGACGGTGCGTTTCTCGATGCCACTTGCCCTCTAACTCCAGTAATGTCCATCATCTGTCTTCATCCATGAGGTGCTCGATGACGGCACGTGCCAAGTCGGTCCGCACACTTACCGGTCGTTCCGAACGTTGCTCATCACTGGTTGACACACGTCCTTGCTGAAACTTTCCTACCCACCGTGCTACTGTACGATATGGTAGGACATTATTCCCAAGGGTTCTACTAATTCACTGTGACATTCCATCG